AAGTGCCTTTGAGTACTCGCCCATGTTATCATATATCAAACCGATGTGGTTGTATGAAGTAGCCAAGCAGGGATGATTCGGAGAGAGAGCTATTTTTCGAATTTCAAGTGATCGTTCGTACGATGAAAGTGCTTTTGAGTAGTCGCCCATTTTACCATACACCATACCGATGTTGTTGTAGGAAGTAGCCAAGACGGGATGATTCGAAGGGAGAGCTATTTTCTTTATTTCAAGTGACCGTTCGTACGATGAAAGTGCTTTCGAGTATTCGCCCATGTTTTGATGCACCACACCGATGTTGTTGTAGGAAAGAGCTAAGTCGAGATGATTCTCATTGAGGGCTATTTTCTTTATTTCAAGTGATTGCTCGTACAATGAAAGTGCTTTCGAGTATTCGCCCATGCTATTATACACGATACCAATGTTGTTGTAGGAAGCAGCCAAGTCGGGATGATTGGGAGGGAGAACTATTTTTCGGATTTCAAGTGATCGTTCGTACGATAAAAGTGCTTTGGAGTACTCGCCCTTGTTTTTATACATAATACCGATGTTGTTGTAGGAAGTAGCCAAGTAGGGATGATTCGGAGGAAGAGCTATTTTTCGGATTGCAAGTGATCGTTCGTACGATGAAAGTGCCTTTGAGTACTCGCCCATGTTATCATATATCAAACCGATGTTGCTGTAGGAAATAGCCAAGTCGGGATGATTCGGAGGGAGAGCTATTTTCCGGATTTCAAGTGATCGTTCGTACGATGAAAGTGCTTTCGAGTACTCGCCCATGTCTGTATACACTTTACCAAGCTGCTGATAATAATCCGATCGCTCTTTATCATTAGATGCCTTTTCGATGAGTGTCTTACAGAGATGTTCTGCTTTTGCGAACTCTCCTAGATGAATAAGTATATCGCCGAATCGAGACCATCCTGTAGTCCATCTTAACTCTTCTCGCAACCGTGCCGTAAGTTTATTAAAATCATCGTCTTGATTATCCTCAAAAGTGAGGTTAATTTGCCATAAGCGATCAGTATGTTTGTCTTCGATGCGTTCTATGCGATCGATACGAAAAATTGTATGCGTCGAAAAAAGTATTTGTTCCTCTTGATCTTTGTAGTAGCTGACTTTGCTTACTTCGGCAAATGGTGTCGATAATTTTGTACAAATAGCCGTATCAATGGTCATAACAAAGAGGATACCAACGGAAGTGGGATTACGTGTGGCTGGTCGTGCATAGTTTTCTAGCGAAGTCTTACGATCACGATTTGTCAACAGGAAATTATTGAAGGACATAAGACCTCCTTTGGTTTTTTTCATCTTTTCAAAGTCTTCATTGGACAAACCTTGTGCATGAAAGACTTGAAATTTTATTGGCATGCTGCCTTGTTGTTCGCGATGGAGTTGTGCGATATGATTATGTAGATGACGAATGAAGAAACCCATCCTAAGCATTATATTGACATCCATTTGTCGAAGTCCACGATTAAGCATCGAATAAATAAATGTTTCAGCTGTATACCACCATATTGGTGTATGATTACGATATTCATTTTCGACTTGTTTAATTTGATCTTCAGGAATATCATCCTGTTCACGACAATATTCAGCCAGGTCTTTGATAGATTGTCTATAATCATCTTCGATTTCTAAAAGTGTTTCTTTTAACAATTGTGTATACATGAACAGAGGATCGAGACCCTTAAAGCTAATCGAGATCATAGCTCGATCGCATCGTTCTCGGTCGATTTCTAGTGCTTGAAAAATTGATTTAATATCAGTATAAACTCCTTTGACCCTTGATACAGTTTTAGTCCATTCTTCATGATATGATTCATTGTCACAGAAAACATATATTGTTTCTAACTGTGGCATTGCTTGAATTTCTGGTACTATTTGTTGTCCTAATGCACCAGATACAATCAAAAATATCTTTTCTTTTTTAAGTTCACTAAGGAAATTGACACATTGTTGAGGATCCTTAAACGTTGTGATGGATGCCACAAGTTTTCGAAGATCTTGCAATGAATTTTTGAAATCTTCTTTCGTCTCATCAATATTTGCATCCAACCAGACGAGAAGAAAATTTTGTATAATCCGACGAACGGGTCGGGGCAGTGTGGCACTTCTGCTCACTACTGTTGTTGCTCCTGCTGCTACTGAGGATGATTTATTTGTGTTACTTGCTGTAGATGATGATGATGATGATGAGTCACTAGCACCTTGTTTTAGATTTTTATTGTCCATTATAATAGTAATGATGATGGTGATGGTGACGACGTTTTCGTTTATTTTAATTTATGTGAATAAATGAAAACATAAATACTTGTTGCACATAGTATGAACCAACAAAAATAAAAGACATCTCGTCTCTGTCTCTAAAAAATGTTTTGGTTTTTTTCTTCTTTTTATATTCACACTTTCGGTTTTGTTTGGCTAGTTGTTATCGACTTCAAGGACTTCTTATCTCGAATGTTTGTTCTTTTATTTTACAAATGTTTATTGTTTCTTGATTCATTATACGATCTATTTTTATGATTCAGTGTAAATGTGGTGGGTTTAAAGAAAATTTACATCCACATCCACACTTACCGTATATTATTTTTTTGTAGATTCAATTTTAAGTTTTTAGAAAATAGTTTTATTCAATAAAGGAAAAAAACCATCTAACAATTTCTTGCAAAACAATATATATTTTTTCACGTACAATCAATGGAATAGTTAAATCTTCTCCTGCTTTTCTATCAATATAGATATAAACATGATGGGTTTTTGATGCAAAAGCTATTTCAACATTATTATCAAGAAAATATCGTTTGTTATTATCAAT